TGGAGTCAAATCCATACTTGGCTATCCCATGTATCTTGAGGGCAGCTGCAAAATTATCTGAATCTCTTTATATTCCTAAAGGACGACTTTCAATTCAAAGGAAAAATCCGTACCCTTCCGAAGTTATGACGTCAACAGTTACCGAGTCCTCTCTTTCCTCTGAAAGATCTTTGATTGAAGTCGTACGCATTCCACATTTGCTTGACAAGCCTGTAGAAAGTATAATCCTCGACCTTTCTCCAACTCGGTATTACCTGGATCTTATTGCCAAGGAACTTGGCTTATGCGACGCAGCCAAGGTTTTCATCTCAAGGTTGGTGGTATTAGGTGCCCGGTTTCTTCTTCATATAAATGTCTCTATGAAAATAATTCATTATCTTTCTTTTTCGTTTCATTAGGCCTGTTGGTAGAGCTTCCTCCGAAACAAGGTTGTACTTTGCGGCGTCTGTAACGTTTCTATCTGATCTAGCGTCCGATATTTTAGAGTTCAAAGAAGCTCTTCACTTTGAAGAACCGTTGAATGCTAGAGCAACTTATTTATCTGGTCAAGATATATATGGGGATGCAATTTTAGCAAACATTGGGTACACATGGAAGAGTAAAGAACTTTTTCATGAGAACATTGGCTTGCAATCATATTACAGGTCTCCTCTGGTTTCTGTTTTTATTTTCGATCGAATCATCTAATAAATCTCTTTTTTTGTTGCGTTTTCTCTCGCTTGCACTCGCCCACACGCGCACACACATGTTCAACACAGACACCTCAAACTGTGGATAAATGTTTTTTTTACAGTTGCTGAGAAAAATATGCTTGTTGGCACATAGTATAACAAGATATTCATCTACAGGATGCTTATTAATAAGACACCGAGTGGTATTTATAAGTTGTCCAGAGAAGCAATGCTTACAGTACAGTTGCCTTCAACATTCACCACAAAAGCAAACTGGAGGGGCGCCTTCCCAAGGGACGTCCTTTGTACGTTCTGTCGTCAGCAAAGATTATCTGATCCTATCATTTCTGCTGTAAGTGTTATAGCATCTTCCAAGTCATCTGATAAACAGAACTTACAGATAGTAGATTCAGCGGCAGTTGAGCAAGATCGTGCAAATAGAGGCACAATTGTTGGAAATGAAGGACAACGTTTAGAATCCGAAGATACCTTCAGATGTGAAGTTAGAATTTATTCCAAAAGTCAGGAACTGATTTTGAAATGCTCGCCGATGGACACGTTCAAGAAGCAGTTCGATTCAATCCAGAATGTTTCTTTGAGAGTTCTTTTGTGGCTCGATGCATATTTCAAGGATTTACATGTTTCTTTGGAGAGGTTGACCTCTTATGCTCATGCACTTGCCATTCGATTTAATCCTGAAAGATTCTTCGAAGAACTAGCTTCCTGCAGATCTGTGCATTCTGGTTTGAACAGTAAAGTTGAAGGAGAAATATCACATAAATCAAATGGCGTGAAATTGCCGTGTAACTATGTGGGCTGTGGAGACAGTTTTCCAAACATTCGAGGTTCAGATTCGGGTATTAGTCCATCTAATGGATCATTAGTATGCATCAGTTATAATGTAGCCCTCAAGGCCGATGGCGTGGAAGTTATGGAAACTATTGAGAATAATGATGAGTTCGAGTTCGAGGTAGGCTTTGGAGGTGTTATTCCATGTCTTGAAGCAATTGTTCAGCAGATGTCTGTTGGTCAGTCTGCTTGTTTTTCTGCAGAATTGCCCCCTAGAGAGTTTATTTTAGCTTCAACTCTCGACTCCGCAAGGATACTTCACTTGTTAGATTCAAGTTAGTTCCCTTTTCCTTGGTTTTCAAACTCAGTGTTTAATGATTTTAAGACCTTAGAATTTTTTATGCATTAAAATGTTATAATTTGAGAATGAACATGTTGATAAATGGCTTACTGTCTTGAAGAACTGAGAAGAAAATCTTTTTGTCTTGACTGATTGTTTTGTAGTTTAAACTTTTATAATCGAGACGTTTATGATACATCTTATGGCACAAGTATTTTGAATCTAATGTCGCTTTGAGATCCCACATTGGTTGGAGTGGAGAACGAAACATTCCTTATGAGGGTGTGGAAACCTCTCCCTAGCAGACGCGTTTTAAAACCGTGAGGTTGATGTCGATACGTAATGGGCCAAAGTGGATAATATCTGTTATTGGTGGGTTTAGGCTATTACAAACGGTATTAAAACCAGTCACCATGCAGTGTGCCAGCGAGAACGCTAGGCCCCCAAGGGGGGTGGATTGTGAGATCCCATATTGGTTGGAGAGAGGAACGAAACATTCCTTATGATGGTGTGGAAACCTCTCCCTAGCAGATGCGTTTTAAAACCATGAGGCTGACGACGATACCTAATGAGCCAAAGCGGACAATATCTATTAGTGGTGGACTTAGACTATTACAAATGGTATCAAAGTTAGTCACTGAGCGGTGTGCCAATGAGGACGCTAGGCCCTCAAGGAGGTGGATTGTGAGATCCCACATCGGTTGGAGAGGGGAAAGAAACATTCATTGAGGGTGTGGAAACCTCTCCCTAGCAGATGCGTTTTAAAACTGTGAGGTTGACGGCAATACGTAATGGACCAAAACGAACAATATTTATTAGCGGTGGGTTTAGGCGGTTACAATCTCATATATATGATATGAGGTAGGCTTAAATATTCTGTTTTTTTATTACCTTGCAGAAGAATGCTGCTTGGACTACTCTTGTACTTTGTTGCGTGTTACCCAACCTCTGGAAGACAGGATGGAGCAAGCTTTTTTCAGTCCTCCACTATCAAAGCAACGGGTGGAATTTGCTGTGAAATATATCAAAGAATCACATGCTTCTACATTGGTATATACAAACTTCTCACTTTCTGATTTAGTATATAGATGAAAATGTCTTTTGATCTCATCTCATCTCATCTCATTCATCTCAGGTCGACTTTGGATGTGGCTCGGGGAGTCTGTTGGATTCTTTACTAAATTACCAGACATCTTTAGAGAAAGTTGTTGGTGTCGATATCTCACAAAAAAGTCTTAGCCGTGCGGCGAAGGTCAGGATTTTTAATGGTTGCATTGTTCTTCACTTGACTTTGTTTTACTTTTCTGGAGAATCTTATATCGTCGTGTGTATATGTGTGTATATGTGTGTGTCTCTCTAGAGTGTGACAGCTCAAGCTCAAGCCCAAGCCCAAGCCCACTGCTAACAGATATGGTTCTCTTTGGGCTTCCCTTTTCAAGCTTCTCCTCAAGATTTTTAAAACGTGTCTGCTAGGGAGAGGTTTCCACGCCCTTATAAAAAATGTTTAGTTCGTTCTCCTCCCCAACTGATGAGGGATCTTACAATTCACCCCCCTTCAGGACCCATCGCTTGCTGGCCTTTGGTCCCTTGGGATCCCCCAATCCACCCCCTTCGAGCCCCAGCGTCCTTGCTGGCACACCACCTCGTGTCCATGCCCCTTCGAGGCTCAGCCTCCTCACTGACACGTCGCCCGGTGACTGACTTTGATCTCATTTATAACAGCCCAAGCCCACCGCTAACAGATATTGTCCTCTATGGGATTTCCCTTTCGGGTTTCTCTTTAAGGTTTTTAAAACGCATCTGCTAGAGAGAGGTTTCCACACCCTTATAAAGAATGCTCTATTCTTCTCCTCAACCGATGTGAGATCTCACATAGAGAGAGCATTGAAATGTGCAAGAAGATTTCTACATAGTGTAGCATTTTTACAAGTTTTCTACGTTTCCCAACCTTTTGGCTAAGATCACGTGTAGTATTTGTTCGTATCAGCTTTATTACAAGTTTTCTACCTTTCCCGACCTTTTGGCTAAGATCACGTGTAGTATCTGTTCGTATCAGCTCTATTACAAGTTTTGTTATCATTGTTGTTTGTGTAGTATCTGTTCGTATCAGCTCTATTACAAGTTTTGTTATCATTAGTATATGCTATTTATTTGCTTTGCAGATACTTCATTCAAAACTGAGTACAGAACCAAATAGTCAGCTACCTCGTACTGCCATCAAATCTGCAGTTCTTTACTATGGATCCATTACAGATTTTGATCCACAATTGTGTGATTTTGACATCGCCACTTGCTTAGAGGTACTCTCCAATCATCACACTTTCATATGCTAAGTTGGCGCTGACTCGCTCGCTCGCTCTAAAATAAGCCAATGTGGGACTCGGATTGCTAAAACTATTGGTATACTGCAGGTAATTGAGCATATGGAAGAAGATCAAGCATATCGGTTCGGCAATTTGGTGCTGAGTTCATTCTGCCCCAAACTTCTTGTCGTTTCAACTCCGAACTACGAGTACAATGTGATACTCCAAGGTTCAAATCTTTCAAGCCAAGAAGGGGGGGATCCAGACGACAAAACCCAGTTACAACCTTGCAAATTTCGCAATCACGATCACAAGTTCGAGTGGACTCGAGAACAGTTCAATCACTGGGCGAGAGATTTGGCCACACGACACAACTACTCTGTAGAATTCAGTGGCGTTGGCGGATCAGGTCACCTGGAGCCTGGTTATGCTTCCCAAATTGCTATCTTCAGAAGAAAATCCGAAACTCGACATGAATATCCAACGAACGATGCAGCAGAATCAGCTCATGAGTACCAGGTTGTATGGGAGTGGAATAGCAGCAGTAAATGAAGAACTACTCGATGAAACTTTGAATAGATTGCTGAGTTTTTATCGCTTGAAGCATTTTGAATTTTGATTATCTTTCCAAATCACAGGTGGTAGTTATACACATCATATACTTCCTCGTTGGTAGTGTACCACTTAAGGACGGATAGACTGTCCACCGAGTACCGCTACCCACATCTACTAAAAATGCTTGCATTAGCGGTTGAGGTGATGGGAGAAAATCGTAACTACACTCTAGAACATGCATGAAGCGACCGATTTTTTTTTTTTGTGAGCTAATTCAGTAGAAAACCCTATGGTTTAGGGATGATTAAAGAACTTGGAATGTTATGAAATTGACAAATAAAGTATAGGGTATAATTTGTATTGGTATAATAACAAGCATCCTTTACAAACTTCTTTACAATATATGGATATATGTGAGATATGGAAGAACATACAAAAAAAGGAACTGATGAACAAAACAAGTCTGTTTCTTAGCATTCTAGCTTAGCTCTTGATGCACTGTTATCTCTTGGAATATCTGCAATCTGTTTCTCCTTATCAAGTTCACATTCTCTCCACCCTCAGTTGGAGAATCTTTCTTTGGCAGTGGGGACGAGCGTCGGTTATCAGCCGAGTCTAGCGTGACTATTGGTCGAAGCACAAAGGCCGTCGTACTGCTGGATTTCTCGACGAAATGATGTCGACTGAGTCTTTAGCTCCATCTTCAACGTGATTGCTGCTTGGAGGACTGTGGTTCTTCTGGTGAAGTATGTTGGAATTTAGATTTTCATCATTGAACTTCAACTCCTCATTGTCACTGCTGCTCCCCCAATTGTTGAAGCAGTTGACTCGAGCTCGTTCGCTTGAGGATGTTTCTTCTGTATCGTCTTCCTTCTCGTTGTCACTGTCGTCCTCTTCTTCCTCTTCTTCGACCATATCTGCCCAACTCTTCTTCCCACCAACTGCTGATGAATTGTGTTTGTGTTCTTTCTGTATCTTCATCGAGTCGTATGGCATTGCACGTTCTTCGTACTCGACGTCTTCATCACTCACTGCTCTTGAAAGTTCAAATCTTCCAAAGCTTGAACATATCAATCCTCGAGTATTTTCAGTGTTTGTGTGAGGCTCAAATGAAAGTTTTCTACTAGAACTACTGCTGAGCAAACTTCTGAAGCATTCCGTTGTCTTTCGCTGACGACCTCCTGCGTTTATTCCCCATGAACAACTCCTCGGTTGCGTGAACGGAACCTCCAGTTCAACTGCATCAGAAGCTGCAGACCTATACTTCGACATGTAATTCGAGGTCGGCCCGCTTCGTTCAGATTCACAAGAAACATCTACAGCAAAGCCATTGTCAAAACTTTGATCAAACAAAACTTTCCTACTACTCGAACTGGTTCTTTTTCGCTGCCTCATTTCGTTCGGTTGACATCGATTATTGAATTCCCATAAGGAATTCTTCGCTTGAGTGAACGGAACTTCAACGTTTCGCTTCGCTCGAGTCTGGGATGAATACAACGAGCAGCAATTCACACCCTCATCTACTAATCTCAATAAACCATCTTGGTCTTGGTTTCGGTTTCCCTTCATTTTGATGGAAATGCAGGAGCTACTTTTTCCTAGATTTTCACTAAAACAATCTTCACTCCATCGAAATGACTCGTTCTCATGTCGGTTCCAGTGATGATCGTCCCGACTATTTTCATTTACGTACATCTCTTCGTCATCACGAGTCCACCTCGTGGATGCAGTGAGCTGAGGAACACAAGTCCCAGCTGTAACAGTTGTTGTACTATTACCTTCTTCCTGCTCTGATGAATTGAACAACTTCGATTCTTTTTCAGCTAACATATGAGATGCGCGTTCAAACGATTTGGCATACGACTCTTCCATGGCTGTGCCACCAGAAGAAGCTCGTATCGACTGAAGCATCGACTTCGCTTCCGATAGCCGATTCATAAGGATCAGACAGATAGCAAGATTGCATTGTTTGTTATTATCAGTCTCGAGACACAAAGCTTTCCTATAACCACAAAACTTACATTCTTAAGAACATATGATGCCTTGGTTGGCTAAAGAACATGACAATGTCTAATACGAAACCGACTCACCGGTAATACTCTTCAGCGACGTCGACGTTGTCCTGCTGCAAGAAAGCCCAAGCCAAGTTTCCAAGAACTCTGAGTCGGAAAAGAGTCCGTGGTAAGACCGATATCGTATCGATTAAGAAAACAAATTCAATAGCTACCTTGATTTCTCTTGTTCAACAGTAATTTGCACTTTCTTCCCTTGAGATCTCGCAGCCTTCGTCTTCTTCCCTCCGAAAACCGTGCCATCTTCGATCTGTTTCAGTTTGCATCGAAGCATATTGATCTCTTCTTCGATTCTTCCAGATCGCTGCAAGAAATGACAACTTCAAAGATCTGTTAGCATTGCTTCTTGAACAATGATTTCAACAAATTTCATTCATCAAAACAACAAAAGATCTTACTGACCTTGTATAACTCAATCAAGACATTGTCAATGGACTCCTGAGAATCATAAGAGCAGAGATGGCGAAACGATCGTATCGCTTCGATCGCTTCATCGGAGCGGTCCAGCTGCTTCATTACTACAGCCATGTCTTTTAGAGCACTGTCCACACGATCCCCAGCATTTATTGCAGCCCAAAACAAAGACACAGCCCTACTCGGATCTTTGTCTATCAACTTCAGAAGAAGAAGTGGTAGAGATTTAGGTTTTCATCACTTCAAAATCACTGAAAATCAGTACTCAGAATTCATTCTAATCACTAATCATTTAGAAACTTATTGGTTCTTAATCAGTTGAATGAATCGCTATTGGAAATCACACGACTCTCCACAATAGTATGATATTGTCTATTTTGAACATAAACTCTAGTGGCTTTGCTTTGAACTTCCCCAAAAGATCTCATACTAGTGAAGAAGTATTCCTTACTTGTAAACTCATGATGATTCCCTAAATTAGTCAATGTAGGACTCGCTCCCAATAATCCTCCCTCGAACAAAGTTATTATAGAGTCTCCCCTGAGGTTTATGGAGCTCTTGAACAGCCTCCCTTAATTGAGGCTCGACTCCTTCTCTCTATAGAGCCTCCCATGAGGCCTATGGAGCCCTCGAACAACCTCCCTTTAATCGAGGTTCGACTCCTCTCTATAGAGCCTCCTCTAAGGTCTATATGGAAACCCTAGAACAATTTCCCCTTAATCGTGGCTCGACTCCTTCTCTCTATAGAGCCTCCCCTGAGGTCTATGGAGCCCTCAAACAGTCTCCTCTTAATCGAGGCACGACTCCTTCTCTCTATAGAGCCTCCCCTAATGCCTATAGAGCCCTCGAACAGGCTCCCCTTAATCGAGGCTCGACTACTTCTCTAAACTCCTTAAACAAAGTATACCTTTTGCTCAACACTTGAGTCACTTTTGACTACTCCTTCAAGGCTCACAACTTCTTTGTTCGACATTTGAGTATTCTATTGACATAACTAAATTAAGAGCATGACTCTAATACCAGGTAAGAAATCACACCTCTCCACAATGGTATGAAAATTAGCCAACCTGAGACTCCCTCCCAACGATCCTCAGCCTCCCCATGATCCACCTTCATAAACTAACAACTAGTTTACAATTCATTTCTGATTAATTCTGTCTTAAAAACCCAACATTAATTGGGTACATCACCACAAAGAAGATACACAAGAACATCATGAAGCAAGCAAGAAAGAAATGGATCATAAAACAGAACCAACAATCTTCAATTCAAGAACCAGAACAGAATTCAGTAACCAATAAGAAAAAGAAGAACTCGAACCATAAATTCAAAGCTTCACGAACCTGAACTTGTTTGGCCTTAACATAAGGAGAGTCCCCGGCAGGAATTTTGTGAATGACATGAAAAAGATCAGATTTGTTCGCGGAATTCGGAGACGATCTTTTTCTATCTAAGAACGGCGCCGTTTTCGGTGATCGGAACGGCCTCGATCTCCACGACGGAGGAGGGGTTGAGAATCCCCTGCCGGGGAAGTTGTTCTTGCCATTGTTCATCCACATGGGTGTAAAACCCCTCACAATCTCGAGCGAATTTTCCTGAGGAAAATAGCCAAGAAAAACAAATTTTATTTTGAGGATTTTTGTGTATTACTTCTTGGGATCTTGCATGGAATTCTTCTGGTTCGAATATGCACAGAGAGAAGTGATTTGAAACGGCGAGAAAGAAAACCGATGATGGTTCTGAAGAGCCATAAAAAGTAGCCGTTTTATATAATTACTAGCCGTTGAGAATTTCGATTACCGCACACGTGCGTTTCCTACGTGTGGGGATTGAAGTGACGTGTTTATCAATGAAGGATCAATTCACCGCCAGTCACAGCATAATTTTTTAAATAAAATACTAAATGATTTTATTTAAAATTAACATTATTTTGATATAAAATATAAAATTTATAGGCATTTTTATTAATTTAATCTTTTAAATATATATATATATTTATTTATTTATTTGTTTGTTTATTTATTTTATTATTATTTTTTTATTCTTTTTTTAAAGTTTTTTAAATAAATTTTAGTCATTAATTTATATATATATATATATATATATATTAAAGTTTTTAAGATAAATTTTATAGTCATTAATTTATATATATATATATATATATATATATATATATATATAATTCTTTTTTAATTTTTTTATATTTTATTTTGAAATTTTATACAAAGTTTATAGACATTCTTATTAATTTAATCATATATATATATTAAGTTTTTTTTTTGAAATTTTAAGGGTAAGTTATACTTATGCCCTTATATCTTGTCTATTTTATAAATTAAATATGATTTTAAAAAAAAATGGTTTAGACATTTATATGAACGATAATTTACTTCTAATTTATTAGAAAAATCATTCCGATTAAATTACAAACTTATTCTTAATTTTTTAAAGAAAAATTTATTGTCTCTTTCTTCTCTCACCGGCACCGGCAGCTCCTCTGTATCTCTAATTACACTCATTTTGGGGCACAGAATCTTTTTCGATTGTCGTCGGCTCCGCTGCCTCCAGCCGGTGCTCGCCGCCACGCCCTCCGATAAAGTCCATCTCCAGTGGTAATCCTTGAAATCTTACTTTGGTTATTTCACTCCGGAGTTATTTTTTTCGTTTTCACTTTTGTTAGCGCTGGTTACAGTGTTCGAAATTTAGATTGACCATTGAATTTCAAATGTTTTCTGGATGAATTTCACTGATTTATAAAGCCACACTCTGATTAATCTGATTGAAGGTGATTATGGACAATCAGATTATAAGCTTGAATTGGAGATGTAATTTCTTGGTTCAACAATTTAGGACGCGGAAGTTTCGCACTTTGACTGTTCCGAAGGCTGCTTCCTTTCGTACTTCTTATTCTACCGGAGGTATGGTTCTGTATTTTTTGTCTATGCTTTCTGACTCCTTGTGTGTGAATTTGGTGAATTCTTACTTCATGAGGCTTAAAGCAAATGCTGTAGAAGTTCGTATTTATTGCATTTTATTGAACTACAAATTGAAAATGGCTTTTGAGGATGCTGGTTTGTCAAATTCGATATATTACTTAAATTTTGGATCGCGGGATGAGGATACCATGGTCGTCGTGCTAATATTGTCTAGACTTTAACTACTTAAGAAGGGCTATGCACAGTAAATAGTTTTCTTTTAGGAGCCTTATATTTTTAGAGAAAATTATCGAAGGCTGCATAGTTTTCTTTTGTTATTTATTTTGTTTGATAGAAAACATAGCCATTTCATTGATATGATGAATGTACAACAAGGGAATGCCTATCCAGTGGATTACGAAAAGCTTTTCCAATTGGTCATGAGATTTGTTAAATTATAATTAGAAACAGACGAACTCAATTTACACCAATTAAGAGAAGTATATGATGGATGCAGAAAAGATAGGCTCTGATTCCTTTTTGTTAAATAAACGAGAGTTGTGCTCTAGCCGGATAGATCACAATGAGTAAAATTCAGCCAAAAAATCTTCTTTTCTTTCTTGAAAGGATGCACAGTGAGTAATAAAGACAAGAGGTCCCTGAGTGTGACTTGGAAAAGCAGTCTGCCAACCAAAAGCTTCGAGATTGTAACCAAAAGAAAATTCTAATTGTAGTTTAATGGACTTGGTATAAAAAAATTTCCTCACATCTTCCTGCTTGCAACATTTTATTGTTCACTCTATATGGTATTTTGCATCTATCAGGAATTTTGGGCAAAGGCATAAAGTGTTCAATGAAGTCTTACAAGTTATCTGAACTTAATCAGGATGCTGTCACTAGTCTAAAGGCCCGTCCTCGCATTGATTTTTCTTCAATATTTGGTGTGGTGAGTTTTATTCACTGTTTGTCATCTCCTGGAGTTATCTATAACTTTACACTCTAGTTTCTGTTTAAAACGTCTGATCTTAAAGACTATGTTTAGGTCCAGCCCATTGTTGATGAAGTTCGAAAAAGAGGCGATGTTGCTGTTAGAGAGTAGGTGGTTCATTGTTTTTTTCCCCATCATATTTATACTATATTTCACTCTGAATCATTTAATTTATGTGTAAACATAACTTCTCGCTAAGTTTTCGAATTATGTAGCTATACTTCAAAGTTTGACAAAGTTGAACTCAACGAGATTGTTGTTAGTGTCTCTGACCTGCCAGAGCCAGAGGTAATTTTGAACAATCCAGCATCCACATATTTAACTTATTATGCATTTACTCTGGGAAATGAATTTATGATTATTATTTTCTTTTGGAGTTGAATAGTTAAACTGGACTTTTTGTGTTTTATCTTTTCATATTGATAATTGCCATTGTAATTTTTGCTTTCACACAGCTTGATGCAGCTGTCAAAGAAGCATTTGATATAGCTTAAGACAATATATATGCATTTCATGCTCTGCCCAGATATCGGCTGAGAAAAATGTTGAAAATATGCCTGTAAGTTTGCATCTTAATTTGTAATCTTATTAACTATATGAGCTTATAATCTATGTATAAGTTTCTTACACAAATATTTTAGGGGGTTAAATGCAAACGTGTGGCAAGAAGCATTGCTTCTGTTGGTATCTATGTTCCTGGGGGAACTGCTGTTCTACCTTCAACGGCTTTGATGCTCTCTATTGTAAGTTACTAGTACCATAGGATATTAGTTGCTAAGGATGATCATGTACAGTTCTACTTTTTATCATGTTTACCTGATAGGAATAAGAACTAGGGAATCACGCTCATTTTCAATTATTCATATCTTCATTGATTACTGAACTTCTAATAAAATGTGGAATTATTTCTAATTTTTGCTTCACTCCAAAATTGAGAGTCACTCCATTTATCCTGAAGTTAAGGAATGCTACGCCCATATTCGTGAATCTCTTGACCTTTTTCCATCGCATTTTGTTTTCGGTTCCACACTAGTTTAAACATGATTTATATAGTGTATCAATGAACAATATCAATTATTACACAAATTTATGTTCTCATTTCCATATATTTCATTTTGATGTATCTTCATACTCATTCCTCATTAATAAATGTGCCCTTAATGTATGAGTTACCAGATGCATCCTTTGACATTTTTTTTATTGGCATCAGCCTGCCCAGATTGCTCGTTGTGGTACTGTTGTTCTTGCAACACCTCCCAGTCAGGATGGCAGCATATGCAAGGTATCGGCTCTACCCTTACATGCTGCAAGTTTTTCCTTTTTTGGGATAAAAAACACATACTAGCAACACATGAGGCATATTTCTTTTAAATTATCACGTGTAAAGGAACTGACCGATGTTAATTTCTTTAGGAGGTGCTCTATTGTGCGAAGAAGGCTGGTGCGACTCACATTCTTAAGGCAGGAGGAGCTCAGGTCTGTATACAACTTTTTATACTTATGGATGTACATTGGATAGATAGATGGAGTTCGGTTTTGTTGATATTAGTTGTCAAAAACAAATATTTCCATAACTGCTGGACCCTTTTTGATTTGTAGGCTATCTCTGCTATGGCTTGGGGGACAGAATCTTGCCCTAAGGTAAATACCTTTTTGGATTTTTTGTCACTCTTACATTTATTTACCATGTAGTGTTCGAAGGTTTCTCAGAGCTTTCTGAAGATTGATGTCAATTTTGTCCGTAATTCTTGAATGTGAATATCCTATATCTAATATCATGTATCAATGTGCGAGAACTTCTGTGGATGGATTACAACAATTTCAAGCAAGTAATAGGATCTTTAAACCTTGAAAATTTGAAACATGGGGTAATAATTCCTTGTGTAGATGTGGTCTTATTGTAATGCATATTAAAAGAAATGCACTATATTTGGCTAATCAATCCATTTTTTTATTGATTAATTATGATATGTTTTTGTCAACATGCATTCAAATTATATGTTAATATGCAGTAGGTATGCATACATTTTATGACAATATACTTTGATCGAGCATCCTTTGGAGTTAATTACTTCTTTGGTTACAGGTGGAGAAATTTTTTGGCCCTGGTAATCAATATGTAACAGCCGCCAAAATGATTCTTCAAGTATGATTTTTTTTTTTTCAGTTTCTGTGTTTTGAAGTTTACTTGTATGGGAGATGTGAAAAACATCTGCTAATATTGTAGTTTCTTATTCATGGGAATTAACATTCAAAATGGAGATTGCCCTTATTTGATCCTTTTCATGCAATTATGGTCAAAGCTAGAGGTCAAAATTTCCCATGAGACCCAGCCCATGGGGACCTGCCTCAAGTGCGGCTGGATATCCTATTTTTTAGCAAAGATGAGAAATTCTTTTCCATTTTTAATTATGGGGATGGGGATTGGGAATGCGTTCTCCCATCCTTTTACCCGATCTCGATCCTATCTCCTGAAATAATATCATGTGTGTATATATATATATATAGATATAGATATATATCCCCCCCTCCCGATAAAAAAAAAAGTAAATAAAAGGCCAAACAACCAAAGTCCAAAACTAGACTGGGAATAAAATATTTGACCTGAAAAAAGAAAATAAAAAGGGCAACAATCGATAAAATGGTGAAAATTTATAGGAATCCTGCCCTAATCCCCCACATTGTAGGGACAGGCAACAATTTGAGGAGCGTGGACGGGGATGAGGAAGCATTCTCCGTCCAGGCTCCACCCTATTGACACCCCTAGTGAATTCATATCATGTACACACTACACCCCTGGTCATATTCCTATCATGTCACGGAATTACTGATTTTCTTTTGGAACATATAGCGAAGTGCATGTATAGGTAAAATAAAGTACATGCACATGCATTAAAATAGAAAGATTTTAACAACAGAGTTAAAAGGAAGCTTTTTGGATCCAAGTATGAGACAAATATTTTAAGGCAATTCGAATTAAGATGGAATATAAAAATATTGGCTTCTGCACTGAAATTATTATTTTAGATTTGACTTGTACTTGAAAAAAAAATGAACAGGTAAAATCTCATTTGACAGAATAGTGAAGCGATGATCTCAATTGACATGCCTGCAGGCCCTTCAGAAGTTCTGGTTATTGCTGATAGATATGCCAGCCCAGTTCATATAGCAGCAGATCTGCTTTCCCAGGTGATTTCCATGGTGACGACATCCCTTAATTGTTATTAAATTTCTGTGGTTATATAGGATAGGAGCAAAATCCTTCTATATTGTACTTCACATCTGGACAATGGTTTATGTGAAAGAAACTTTTATTATTCTCGTGTTGCATGCAATTGATGAGTTAGCTAGGTCCCTTTTATATCATCCCTGGTTATGGTTGAGATATTTTTGCATAACTGAGTGATTTCTGTCACATTCGTTTCTTTCTGTATTTGGTTGACAATTATCTACTCCTAACATCTCAGCTGATAATATGCAGGCGGAGCATGGCCCTGACAATCAGGTAGTTCTTGTAATTGCTGGTGATGGTGTGGATATTAAAGCTATTGAAGAAGAACTCAGCAAACAATGTAAAAGTCTTCCAAGGGGAGAGTTTGCTTCAAAAGCCTTGAGCCATAGTTTTACTGTGTTTGCTCGTGATATGGTTGAGGTTTGTTCTCTTGGATAAATGGCTTGAGATGTATCTGCATAAAGGAAATGCTAATGTAAACTGGAGGTTTTGGTTAATCATGGAAACTAAAATGACTTAAATTTATGAAAATTCAAATTCATTTTAAGCAAGTAAAAATAAATCAGTCAAGGTGTGGCCAGAAACATATTGTTATCAAGTTGATTTTTAGCATTACTTTTGACTGCTATATATATATCATGGAAATCTGTAGCTGTATAAGGACAAAGCCTCGACTTGTTTGTTTTTTTTTTTTTTTTTTGTTGTTGTTGTTGTTGTTGTTGTTGTTGTTGTTGAACATTTTGACTTATAGAGCTTTCTTGGTTAAATTCTCTCCTTGCGTTAGTAGCTAATTTCACTCCTGTTATTTCCCGTTGAAAGTGTATGTTGTAAACACCTTTGCCACATAGGTTGCCATCTTTTGTAATTCCATCTTTCCAACGAAATGAAGGAATCATAGTTTCAGATAATAATTATAACAGTAATAATGTGTTCGTAACTAACAGAGAATTCCTGGAAATTTTCCTTTCTCTAAATTGCATTCGTTTCCTGCATATAGATGAAGTACATATACCATCAATTACAAATATGTGCTTGACCCTGCCTGTTATTGGATTTTACAAAATTCAATGACCTTATTATTTCTGAATCTCTACAACACTTAATAACTTTTGGAACTAAATAGGGTTGTTTTGATTCTCAGGCGGTCTCTTTTTCAAACTTATATGCACCTGAGCATTTAATAATTAATGTCAAGGATGCAGAAAAGTGGGAGAGTTTCATTCAGAATGCAGGTATCTGCTGAGAGTTGTTTTCAGTTTGTTCAAGTTTGTACTCAACACTTCGCTACCTTTTATGCTACTATAACTAAGTGTTTTCTATATATTATTATAACTTTTTTAAATAAAGAAACTGCTGACTCTTTCATCATTAAAAGTAAATATTATGGAGTTACACAAGAGTCGAGAGAGATCTCCATCCAGTTATAACCATTGAGTAATAACAGGTACAAAAGGATTTGGTAGGTTACTAGAGTAACTCTGTTGTGAATGATCATAGTAACGATTATCAAACACAAATTCAGTTCAACTGTTCCCCTGGAGTTTAAACCCTCGCAAGTAGGCATTGCCAGCTTCGTCCTGTATGTTGTCATTGGCTAATTGTTATTGTTAGCTTGGGCAGTTTTTAACAATATGAACTTTGTTTTTATCTTGCAGGTTCTGTCTTCTTAGGGCCATGGACCCCAGAAAGCGTAGGAGATTATGCAAGTGGGACAAATCATGTTCTTCCAACCTATGGTTATGCACGGATGTATGGTGGAGTTTCACTTGACTCGTTTTTAAAATACATGACTGTACAGTCTTTGACAGACGAAGGTTTGAGAAAACTTTGGCCAGTACGTCGAAAAAATGGCTGAAGTTGAGGGATTGGATGCCCATAAAAGAGCTGTAAGAAGGATATTGAAGCCAGGCAGATCTCAACCTCAAGGTGATTGTCTAAATACCTTATGTAGTACCTTATGGAAAATTCGAATTTTAGATTTTGACTATTCATCATGGAACCGTAACTACTTTTTTGGCTGCTCTGGTTGTATAAGATAACACAAATCTGGAAACAGATATGAGATTAATTATTCTTGAACCTTGAGATGCATTGAGGGAATAAACACCATTAGAAGGAAACAACTTTTACAGCATTTATCTTTACACCTAGTGCTTTCCAAATTCCAACCGTTGGAGAGGTTTCGATATGTTAAAAAGCACTTGATATGGTTGATACCATATCACCTGGTAACTACCATCACTTTTCCTGTCTTTTTCTTTAAGAAACGAGCACATCGATATAAGGTTACAATAAAGGAGTAGAAAAGCCACGCAAAAAGCCCAAGGAATTTTGGAACTATGCAGAAAGCGTATCAGCATCTTGAACCCTCTCATCCCTCTCCTGATTCTTTTTTAAACACCCTACCTGTTACATCATGAACCACTTCCACATTCTTCTACTATTATGGGAACCTAATAGGAGATTCACTTGAACTGAAAATGATATTTCTTTCAGGAAAATTCAATGCATGTACTGCATAATATCATGTATCAGCTCTTCTGTCATTCTGAGTTTTAGATTTCTGATCTAGAACTTAGTTTGAAGGTAGCCGATAACATTTTTATTGATTTGAAAAGACTTCTCTAGAATGTCACTTGAAATATTTGGAGTAGAACCAAATACTGCATTTGCAACCATAATAACTCCTGGATTTTGGCTGCTGAGAGCAGCAATAGCAACCGCATTGGTAGGACCTGGATTTCTCTGGTAGTGAACAAGACCAATAGGGAACACAAACACATCGCCCTTCTGCAACACTTTACCTATATGTCGATTTTCAGGATATGATGTGATGAATCCTACTTCTAGGCTGCCTTCCCAGACGATCAATATCTCAGAAGCTCGAGGGTGTGTGTGCAGAGGGTTGATGCCTCGTGGTGCATAGTCTATTCTAATGATGGAGATGCCGAGAGTGTTGAGTCCAGGCATTTCTGATGGAGTAACTGGAGTCACATGACACCCCAGAGCATTTGATGTGTTAGCTGCAAGGTGAAGCCCGCCAAAGGAAAAGTCATCGGCAACAACATGCTTTGGGTCCTTGCAGGTTAGTCCATTTAGTAACACTGCAATCAATTTCTAACAGCATGAGATGCTTTAGTGATAAGTCCTAGTAGAATCATGGAAAAGGGTAGCATCTAAGAAACTTTATATTTTCTGAAAAAGATGACAGATAACTTAGAAAGAAAGCAAATCATGATTATCCTACACAAATGTGCTAAAGATGCAAGCATGAAGGAAAGAAAGGCTAGTTATTAAAAGAAAGAGCACAAATGAATATGATTACTCCCTTACATTGGTTTGTTATACTGTAGAAATAGGCAACAAAATTGTAGCTAAGCTAGAGATTGCTGAAGATTTAGAAAATAATATGAGCATCTTCTCATTAGCAACTTAAATAAATTGTTAAAACTGCTAAGCATAGGACCCAAAACAAGCTGGGGAGATCAAACAATACCTGTACTTCCAGTATCTGCTACACAGAAATCTTGAATAGGGCTCTGGTCAGCTGCCAAAGCAATAAAGAAGGGTAGTGTTAGAAATGAAATAGCTAATATACAGGCATTACAGGCCATTAGAAACAAGGAAGATAATATGTCTAGAAGTTTATATTGGAAGAACAGGAACAAAAGGCGATATCGAGTCAAATTTACTCGATGTTTAAGTTTGTAGGAGGAGGAACAAAGAAGCTGAGGTATTTATAGGAAGAAGTTGAAAAATTGGGTGCAAAACGAATCATTGTTTAGTTACAACCTACCATCTTAGGCTTTGAAAATCAGTCAGCAAAGGCTTTTTGGGGCCTCAAGGACCAAGCGTGAGGCTATTTCTGTGATGTTTAGTTTGGACTTGGAGAAAAGGCATACAAATATATAAAGAAAATCTTTGGGGGTGACCCAATAATCTGATTTTAGTTGTCTTTGAGAAAGTAACAAAGTTATGGCTCTTTCCCATGCGCACTTACATGTAGGGAACAAGTGGACCACTCTCCCTTTTGGTATTCACAAATTATGATCATCTGTCTGTCTGTATTCAATTTCTCATTTTTCTCATCCTTTTATGGTTGTCTTTTTGTGTTAATAATCTACTGCTGTTTGGAAATTGTTCCAAGAAGCTGTTTTTCTGCCTTTTTAAGTATATTTGCAGTTTGTTTCTATTAATTTGATCTCGAGGGTGTTGGTCTACGAGTCATGCTTGGGATCATGCTTGTGGAAGTTGTGTCAATCTGAAACTAGCTCATTTGGTTGAAACGTATATCCTCGACCAAAAAGTTAGAAGTTTGAATTCAGACTTCCACAGGTTAAATTCAAAATGTCGTTTATAGTAGTTGTTGAAGAGCAAATGATCATGCTTTAATATGGTAAACCATTCAATCATTGTTGGTAAGAATTGGCTTGTAGAACAAGCTCATAAACAATCATTTAACTTACTCCATCATTGTAAAGTTAAAAGTTCGAAAGATTTGTTCGATATGGTTTGTGTTTATTACTTCTTTTTTCAAGTAAGAAAATAAGTTCCTTTAATAATCTCTTTCTTCTCATTTTCTAGTTTTTTAGAAACCCCATNCAAACTAAATCCATTTTGTTTTTACTTTCAAACTCCATTAAATTACACGTATTTTACCCTATTTTAAAAAATACTTATAAAACTAATTATTTTGTGCGTTCGAGTAAAAGAGAAGTACATCAATAAAGTAATAGCACGTCCAAGTATAAGAGATTCTAAGGATAAATTAGTTAAAAAGACCTAAAAAAAAAATAAAGAATTATCTAGTTAATTTGTAATAATTTAATTTCAATTTTATAATGATAAAAATTATATTAACCAAATAAATAAATTATTAAGGAATCAAATAATAAAAAATTAATATTTAATTTAGATGGTTTTTACATGCAACTAAATTATTACAAATTTAAAGAAAATTGTATCAATTAAAAAAACGAGATTTTACATTGAAAATTATAGAATTCAAAAAATCTTTTGAATTAGAAATCTATTTCACTTTTGTATATTTTCAATAATTTTGTTACTAAAGGTTTAAAATGTAGCAAGTAGATAACGGCCAACAAATTAATTTTTCAATTTACAACTCGTGATGGAAATATGGTTAAAATTTTGATGTTGATAATTAAAAAAAAAAAATACATAAAAACTATATAAATTTGTGAAATTATTTTAAAATAAGATGGAGTTTAATTTCTAATTAAGATTTGAATTTAACTTTTATTTGAATTTTAAAGTTAAAAAGTTGCTTGTTCATTAAGTTTGAAAATTGATTTTTATATACATATCAATTTAATTTAATGTAATTTTTATTTGGACCATGATTTCAAAAATAATCTGTCTAGTTTTCAAAGTTTGAATTTGATTTTTCCAAGTCAAATTTCCATGATCAAATGTGTTTTTTTTAAAAAAAAAAAAAAAAAAAAAAAAAAAATCAAATAATATATTGATTTATTAGGATTTTTTTACAAATTTTTAACAAAGATTATAATAAAAAAAGAAAAAGTTTAAATTAATTATTTTTAAAAAAATAATAATAAGCGAGAAAAAAAAATACTTCGGGGAATTCGATCTTGCAAATTCTCTTAAGGTAATCCCTATCTTGATCTTTGCAAAAATAAATAGGAAAATTTGTAAGAATGAGAAATGAAATAGGTGGTGAGGATGGAGATGGGAAAAACTTCGTCTCGTGGACATCCCTAATTGGACATCTCTAATTCTCAACTAACGGTTTAAAAATATTAGTATTTAAAAAAATTATTTAACCATTTGAACAGTTATTTAAAATCGAAGGACAAACTAAACCTATTTCATGCTGTTAATTTCAACATTCATCTCTCAAAGTGCACCAAATACAATTAAAAGGTGATTAGAGCCTCTTTGTTTTATCGGCTATCACGGTGTATGGTACATATATAATCTTAGATATTAAGTTAGTAGGTCAATTCGAGCAATAGTTTAACTTACCTGAGAGAGATGAATTAAAAAAATAGTATAACTAATTAAGTATTACTTGTCATATTTATTTAATTAATAATTAATTGATAATGTTATTATATTGTTAGGTTTAATAAATTTTAATCAATATTTTAACTATTTAATAGAAATTTGTATTACCAACTTAATTATTTATTATTAGTATTTTGATTAACTTACACTTATTTAATTTTTCTCTGGCTAATCTTAGTATCAGTATAATTTAATTAATATTGTAGTGTATAAATATTTAATTATCTTCACGTTATTTTTATTCTACAACATGTGAGATTCAAATATTTGATATTTCCCCTTTACATAATTTATAATATAATCATTAGTTTATTTTCTTACATACAATTAATTAAATTAAATTTCTATATAAAAAAACCTAAATCAAGACATTTAATTATTGAACATTAATATCATACCATATCCAAATATAAATAGTAAAAAAAATTCAATATTTAACACTTAGATCCATAAAACAAAACCTATAATCAAAATCATTGTAAAAGGAAATAGTATGAATAATGAATATAAAATGTATTCGAAGACAATGAGAACTTCCAAGTATGCCTAACTCTGTCGGAGTGAAGCTGAAGAACGAGTCAGGCAAATTATTAGATTTAATTGTTGCTTCTACTCTGAGACTCTTTCAGAATATGAATCATTCTAATTGAAGCAAGAAAGATAATATTATATCCAAAACCCAGCTCTGATTACATTACATGGCCCTCACTCACTCCATAATACAGCTCAAAACATGTAAAATTCTATGAACTGCTGGACAAAAGGAAACAGCACCATCATCATGATCATCACAAACTAAAGAATAAAATCAAGAACAGCAGCATTACAGTTTCAGACAAACCTGGGTTGCTGCAGGAGACGGTGGCTCAAGCAGGGGCTTCCTCTTCTTCAGCTTCGAACTCTTCGTCGGCAGTTGCATCCTGGTACTGCTGATACTCGGCGACCAGATCGTTCATGTTACTCTCAGCCTCGGTGAACTCCATTTCGTCCATTCCTTCACCGGTGTACCAATGCAAGAAGGCCTTGCGCCTGAACATGGCTGTGAACTGCTCACTAACCCTCCTGAACATCTCCTGAATTGAAGTCGAGTTACCGATGAAAGTCGACGCCATCTTCAGACCCTTGGGTGGGATGTCACACACGCTAGACTTCACGTTGTTGGGTATCCATTCGACAAAGTACGATGAGTTCTTGTTTTGTACATTGATCATCTGCTCGTCTACTTCTTTAGTGCTCATCTTACCACGGAACATGGCTGAAGCGGTAAGGTACCGACCATGTCGTGGATCGGCAGCGCACATCATGTTTTTGGCATCCCACATCTGCTGGGTTAACTCAGGCACTGTGAGGGATCGGTACTGCTGGGATCCTCTTGATGTTAATGGTGCAAAACCAACCATAAAGAAATGTAGACGAGGGAATGGAATAAGATTGACAGCAAGCTTTCGTAGGTCAGAGTTCAATTGTCCAGGGAATCGTAGACAACAAGTAACACCACTCATGGTAGAAGAGATAAGGTGGTTCAGATCACCAACTATAATATGACAATTGAACAAGTAAGAAAAATCTGATCAATAAGTTTAAGTTTATCTTATATTATACAATAAGAAAACTACTAAAAGATTGAACTTATTTGGAACTTGAAAACAGCTGCTTCCAGTGAATGATGATCGGGATTTGGAACTTGAAAACAATCATTTTTACGCTGACATGATGTCCAGCTCTCACTTTCCTTGTATAGGGTTATAAAATACATCCGAATCCGATGAATGAATGCTCTTACTAAGACCTAAAGGAACTTTTGAAAGGAAACTAGTAAAGATGCACCAATATCCCTCTTTCTAGAATTATTGTTGAGACATGCTCCAAGAGGGTTAGCCCCGGCTATCAAGATCGCATAAAAAGGTCACACCTATTTACTATTCCAAATTGGAAAATATTGAGATTGCTTTTTTTTTACATGAATTGGAATCTTCCCTCAAACAAGGAGGTCTTGTCAGTGAAAAGCGAGGTAGGCTACTAATACTAAGTAAGTTAATTCTGGTATTGTCTAAATAATAATGAAGCAAGAGAAAACCTAGAAGAAAGTTCGTACTATTATTGCGCTGGGTGACAGAAGCTCGGGATAAGCTGTTATTGTTTCATAAGCAAATGTGGCAATTAGGTGTTACAGTGATCTCTCTCTCTGAATTAAGCTTCAGTAATTGATTACATAATTTGATAGTACAGTCATGGAAAACGTATTATAATACCCATATCAGAACTTCAGATAATCAACACCATCCATTTTCAGCTTTTTATAAAAACAATGAGTATGCAAAGGTCAATTTCTAGACTCAAATATGAGTTGAAGGACTTGGACACTTACATGTAGGAGTAGCAAGCTTGAGTGTTCGGAAGCAAATATCGTAGAGGGCTTCATTGTCAAGAACCATGCATTCATCAGCATTCTCCACAAGCTGGTGAACAGACAAAGTGGCATTGTATGGTTCTACAACTGTGTCTGAAACCTTGGGAGAAGGAAATACAGAAAATGCCAACATCATGCGATCTGGGAACTCCTCCCTGATCTTTGAAATCAGAAGTGTTCCCATTCCAGAGCCAGTGCCTCCACCCAAAGAATGACAAACTTGGAATCCTACACAAATAAGCACCAAAAAAGTAGCCAGCCTTAAACGCTGAAGTTTTAAAATGATGATTTTACTTGATTAGAACAGAGTTAATGGTACAAACAAACGGAACGTATATATATTAAAAGAAAGATACAAGATCATCCACGGCATCAAAGTTGATATAAACAACTCTATAGAATTACAAATTATGAAAAGGATGAATATAGGAAATTCTCCGGACCTGATAATCTTTTCAGTATGATCAGATCCAGAGAGAATAGCATCGAAAACAGAGTTAATACCATGGTTTCGTAAATTCCTTATAGTTAAATTCCGCGGGTATGGAAAACACGGTGAAATATATGA